TCACACACACTTCTAAGAAGGATATGTTGACACAAGCAGGTCTTACCCTGCCTTCTCTAGGAGGATATATGTGTGATCGTTGCACCTAGTCCTTGAAGTCTAAAGCTAGTCCCAGGGAAAAGCCATCTAAGCAGCAAAAGGCAGTGCAGTGTCTTATTTGATATTTGCACCAAAGTGCTATAATCAGATATCACTGAGCGAATGCAGTTAGAGCATTTTTACATAATAAATAGATCACAGAGGGAAAATTTGATGCTTTATTCCTCAAATAAAATTTGTACCGAAGTCAGTTAAAAATCACTGAGAGTTATGATCAAGTAAATTTTAAACATGAGCTAAAGACACACTAAGGATACACTGCCAGTTAAATATGTTGACCTGTATTTGTAAATCTTATTCTTTTTTCTAGGAACCAGTGTCTGGACTTTATTTTTCCTTTTTTTTTCCTCCCTCTTCTATGCCTTATTTTGACATGGTAGCCAACAAATTCTACTGTTAAAATAAGTCTATATGTTCTCCATAAGCTGTTGCAGGTTGTTATTTCTATTATACCACTGACAGAGTTCACAAAGGTAATGTACACCTTTCTAGAATCACAGCTACAGGATATACTGAGCATAGGGATTAATACAGTTTGTTTTTATTTTCTGATTTGCATCTCTTCAAGCTTTTTATTAATTTTATTTAGTGTGCATTTTTGTCTGAATTAGTATTGACATTTTTTTAAAAATTCAACATAATGTGAAATCTAGCATTTTTAAAGTGAGAGAATCTTACAGCCTTCTAGTTCCATCCCTTTCCTTTAATATTACCAGCTCAAACCAAATGGAGGAAAAATATATTGCTTTCTATTATTTGACACTGTAAGCCCTTTAATGGACTTTTATCCTTTTATGCATGTATGTGCTGCATACAGACACAATTTCTTTAATTCTTTTTTTTTTTAGTTTCAACTGAGAAATCAACACCTTTTGATGTAAAACCACAATTTTTATGGATTGCTCTCCTCTAAAAGGTAAGAAACATGTTAATATTATGTCTTCCTAACATCCATACCAGGTTGTCGTATTTATAATATGCAATGAAACAAAATTTCAGAGCCTGCTCATGGTCCTATGACATGGTAATGTGCTATCATTAATGAATTTAGCACTTGAACTCCGAACCTCTCTCAAACCCAGTAATAAATATTGTGTGAAAGCAGGTGTTTGGCTCAGGAGGAAAACCAGCAAATGTTACAGTGCTTCCAGCAGGCTCTTTCTTACCACATGAATAGATGTAATAACAAGGACTAGACTGAGCCCCATCCTCTCTGACTTGAACAATGAAAGAAGACAATTCTTCTTTGAAATCTTATTCAAGAATAAGACACCATTCCCTCCAAGCAAGAAAAACCTCAAACAAACTAAAGACCTGCAGGGCATCCGAATATGAAAGACAGCACCGCCTTCAACCTCTTAACCCTTCCTAGTTCATCTGTGATAATCACACTGTGAATTTTATTAATAAGTAATGACTCTGCTTCCTTCAATGCCCATATTGACTTTTCAACAAACTTGCGTCCTTCCCTGCTAAGCATACGAAAATCTTATTCTCTGGAAATCATCAAGCTCCAACATACTCCCAGTTGAACACCAAGTATCATGCTGAAAGCACTATTAAACAGGAAGTTTAAATGCCTACCCTAGAGGAATGTGTACAAAATTGTAACAGGACAAATGTGCTCTACCTAGGGAATTTTAGTGGCTTAACAGCATTACTATTTACACTTTCTGCACTTTACTGCCAGGCAAGGACATCAGAGCAGCATCATTCCACATATTCCTTCACTTAAGTGCATGGTAAAGTAATTCAGTTCTGATCTTGTCATTCAGAACACATTTTAAAGTCGCACTTCCAGCTTCTTCTGACTATACAAAACTGTGAGATTTTTGATAATACTTTATTTCATTTATGCTGAATGTTATCACACGATGCCATCAAATTCTTTGCCACTGATTTTGAAGGAAGTGTTATAACCTCATGCATGTTCTACTCAGTATTAACATCAAATCACACTCAGTATGACTCGCTCAATTTTATATTTTATCTAATATAAACAGTCTTTAATATGTGCAGTTTGAAATTCAAATGGATATTGCAGGAGTATTCTTCATTTTAGAAAGATATCTGCATAACACAAGAAAAATAATAATATAACATAATATAGACACAAGTTACATATATAGATACTACATTTTAAGAACAATAAGCTGTTGATATAGCTTATGAGAAGGGGTAACAGTGCTCTACTTCAGATTTTGTGCACTAGAATAGCTTTCTGAGACTCTGCTTATTTACTGACTTTATTGAAGGTCCCAGAAGTGCAACAGTCAACCAATTTACTAGCAAGGTTAACTGCAAAGCAATGCTTCAATGCAAAATACTCCATCTAAACACCTATAGTGAGCTGTGCAATTTGAGTTGATTTGGCAATGACAAGACCTTTTAAGAACTGGCATTAAAAATTTAGTGGGGAAAAAAAACACCCTACCACAAAGAAAGATGCAATGCTGGCTAGGATAAAAATCTTTAGCATGAATGTACAATCTGAAGTCTTGTCTCTAATCCTACATCATGTGCCTACATCCTGGCATGTGACTCTTTACCTAAAGTTGAAGCAGGAAGGTCGCTTCTATGCTCTGTGCCTCTCTTTCCTCTTCTGTAAGGGACATGGAGTTGTTGGGTTTGTTTCACTCATTTTAGTTGCAGGTTTTTTCAGGCAAGGACTGTCAGAGCGTGTTTGGACTCTGAATGTTAATGTCATGCAAAGAACAACAAAATGCAGATTTTGCTAGATCTGGAAGTTCATTCCAGCTGGAAAGATTTCTACTGCTACATCCCCTCTATGCTGTGGATAGACCTGAACACATCTAGATCACTGGACAACTTTGAGCCAAGCACATATTTGTAGTCTGACGTGAAGAGACAAAAAATATGCTAATCACATTACTACAACATCATAAACTAGCATTGCTGCTTTTGCTAGGAGAGACATGAACAATAAAATCTATTCTAGTGGATACTTAGTGATTAAAATAAGAACTGTGTAAAGACTATAATATGAACACAATTTAATTGCTCCATTATTAAAAAGAAAGGCAATGTTGATGTGATCTCCAACATTACTACAACAAAACCAGCATGTTACTAAGTGAAAGCATGCATATGATATACAGTTACCTAGTATGTAGTGCTATTTCGCTAATGACAATAGCAATAACCTAAGCTTAAAAAGATTGAGAAGCAAAACATGTATGTTCCTAGAGGGCACAAATTGATATATCAAGGGCTGAAGCCTATCTAAAAAAACCTGAATGAGATAGACCCTAGGAAGCTCTGGAAAATTCTCCTTTGTGCCATATTAAAAAGATACTCAATTTATCTGCTGTTCAAATAATGTTCAAATAACTGCTCAGATTTGATCTAAGGTTTTCTGAGATTTAATGACTGCCCATCATTAAATGAATTTTAAATTACTTGTATTCATGAACCAAAAAAACCTCAACTGTTACGAATATCTCACCAAGGAAACACTGCTCAAAATCTTCAAGCACCCCAGGAAGATAGCGAAGACCTGAAGCGTTAACTCCAGGTCTCACATTATTAAATGTCCTGCTATTCCTCCCTCTCCTTTTAGTGAGTTACACCCAAGAACTAGCAGATGTAAGCATCAACAAATCTGTCATATATCCAGCCAAATCCAGGGGTGCATCAGGCGCAGCATCATTGGCAAGACGAGGGGATTGTCCTGCTCTGCTCTACACTGGTGTAGTTTTGTGTGTAGTTTTGGATGCCTCCTCAGAATATTGTGTGTAGGTTTGGATGCCTCCATATAAGAAGGTCATCAAGCTATTAGAGAGCTTCCAAAGCAGGGCCATGGATATGTTGAAGGGCTTTGAGGGGAAGCCATATGAGGAGTGGCTGAGGGCACTTGGTGTGTTCAGCCTGGAGAAGAGGAGACTGAGGGGAAACCTCATTGCAGCCTACAACTTCCTCATGAAGGGAAGTGGAGGGGCAGGCACTGCCTCTCCTCTGTGGTGACCAGTGACAGGACCTGAGGGAATGGCCTGAAGCTGAGTCGGTTGGGTTAGGTTGGATATTAGGAAAAGGTTCTTTACCCTGAAGGTGGTTGAGCGTTGGGACAGGCTCCCCAGGGAAGTGGTCACAGCACCTAACCCGTCTGAGTGCAAGAAATGTTTGGATAACGTGCTCTGGCACAAAGTGTGATTCTTGGGGCTGTCCTGTGCAGGGCCAGGTGAGGCGTTCAATGATCCTTGTGGGTCTTATCCAACTCAGAATATTCTATTATTATATGAAATAAGTTTTGGATATCATTTCGTTTCATCTATTCCCTGGCATCACACTTTTCTACATTAGGCATCATTCTATCATCTCTAGGGTGTAGGCAAGGAATGAGGGGTTTTGTATGCCTTAGCAACACTATACCTTTGCAGTATTCCTCAGCAGAAGAAGGATGTTGCTTCAGGTGATCAGGATGACAAACGTAAGTAACAGAGTAAAAAGTTATACCTTCTGTTATGCATTCACTATAGCTTCTACATGAATTCATAATTTGTTATGGGAACACACCAGACCCTAAAACTGATATTTCAAGGTACTTTGATACAACGTTTATAACTTTCAATAGCCTATATATTGCAAAGCTGTTTATATCTCACTGCACAGACATCAATATGTGTTAACCTGTATTATTTCCTAAAGGAATTTAATTCAGAATATATAATCACTGTACTTCAATACCTTAAAAATACTGTCTGCATTCTATTATTCAAGACAGAAAAATTACACAGGAAATAATTAAATGCTTTTTCATTACTGTGTGCTCTCTCTCTCTATCAATATAAGGGTTATGACATTCAATCTAAACCTGCAGTGGTGTAAATGCTATCAAACTGCTACAGTTTGCTTAATTCACAGAATTATTATTTTTAGCTTACCCAAATCTGGAGCTTAATTCTTTTTTCATTTTTGAAAACTGTTTTTACTTTGAAATCGATCCCAACCGTGCTTACAAATGCAGACGTAAAGGAATCATCAGCATATCGAAACAAAAATGAGGTTTTCCCAACACTGCTGCTGCCGATAATAAGCAGTTTGAACATGTAATCAAAGTTCTGGTCAGATGTATCTTTCTGGCCATATTTGGAATCTTGAACGGATGACATCTGTAATTCAAAATAAAAAGAAATAGTTTATGGTTTCTTGTATCATACAAAACTCAAAACATTTAGATTTTATTGGAGTTTTTCATACCATGTATCAATGAAGTTCAAGAAGAACACCTACTTGAAATATTACTAATGTGTACTTCTTCTTGAAGTTCACAGAGATCTAACTCTTTTTTTATGATTAATTTATCTAGTAATAGTTCTGGTAACAAAAGAGGATGTAAGCATCACTGGTGACTAGTACCAAAACAAAAAGCAATAACACTAAAAATCCAGGGCAGTTTCTGAGTACACAACTAAGAAGATCTGACTTCAGAAAATGTGATGAATGAAAGTGACTGCCAGAATATAGATGAAGATACTTCACTTGTACAAGAAAGATATAAGACATCAGTGCTGCTTTATGACATAGTAGGTGTATTTCCAAGTAAAAGCTGAGTAAGTTTTACACTTAATAAAATTCTTGAACCATTTATTTTACTGTAAATATGTTTGTCTTTTGCCATGCCTATAAACTCACTCAAAGCATTTTGCCTTCACCAGATTTTAATTATTATACGATTAAACAGTGAGTTGAGTATATACCCCTAAAATAAGGTCTTGATTTTTTTCTAGTACTAGTATATTCTATAGTTTTTTGAATTTCCAGTGTTAATGCAACATCATCATAAGTGGCAGTTACGTGCAGGGACACCTCACATGGTTTCTAAAAAAAAAATCTCAAGTATTTTGAGAGCCTGGGGCAGACCTTAAGTTTTTTGAATGTGATTATTCTCAGGGCAACACTTTTGCATACTGATTTGAGACAGGACAGATACCATATCCGAACAAAAAGGTTTACAGAAAAGCAGGTCATGTAAAAGCTTTCTAAATCAGGCATCTGAGAGTGCATTTGGGCAATCAGAAAGGACAGCCGGAACCAGAGTGAGGGCTGTACACTGATCCACCTTCTTAGCAGAATTTTAATTAGCACATAAATTTTCTGAGCTAACTGCTGTTTCATAGCACAGAATGCCAGTATGCCAGCTTCTTTGGGCTACTGAAGAGGCTTATAGGAGTGGGGACAAAAAGTCCCAAAGAAGACCATGGAAGTAGGAAGCTTTTAAAAGAAAATTTAGTGTAAGATATATATTTAATATATAATATAGTAGTGACCATTTGATTTCAGAATTTGATTTCAGAATTACCTTCTTCATTAAATGTAGCCTTGGGAACCTACATGCTTGCAACCTGAGTATTTACATTGGCCTTGAAATTTAATCACTTCTTCCACAGGCATGCAACAAAGAAGCTGTAGTTCAAAACCCTAAACATTACCAAACATACACATTACTAATCTTTCAGCTTTCTGATTTCTATAGGAAAGACAAAAACCTTCCCTACTCTCCCTTACTGTATAACTATTTGGGGATATTTTGCTTAGAACATGAGAAAAAGAAAATCAAATGCTGTCTATACCAGTCTAATCACAACTGGCTATAAAGCAGTAAAGGCCATGCTAATGTTGTGTACGATTTGCAACGGTAAGTCAACGAAGTCCATCAGACTGCAAAAGACTGCAGTGGCTGCAGATGCCAGTGTGTAACCTGTGCCCTTGCCCCAGCAGTCTCTTTCATCACCCTTCTGGCTTCTCTCTGCTATGCAGCAGCTGAAGTCAGTAGTCACCACTTGTTGCAAGAAGGAGCATCATATTCTTTTTTGATTTTATCTCCTAAGAAGACTTCCATGTAGCTTCTTCAGCTTGCTTAAGATTTACAAAAAGAGGTCTTATCTTTCATTCCATTTGCTGCCCTCAGTCCTATGTGGCTTACAATTCATCCACACTTACTTTAATGCCTAACACTTCAGAAACAGTATAATTCAGTGAGCAGAGAAATCAGGAGACCTGGAATCTAATAATAGCCCTCCTAAACCTTGTACATTGTGTAGCCTTCCTGAATAAGAATGTGTTTCCCATGGGTAGTTTTAAACATAGACTTCACCCACAGAGAAATTTCAGTGCTCCTCTAAAATAATGTGGTTATGTGCACTATCCATGCAATAGTTTGATTAAAATTTCTTTTAAAAAAAGGTATAGGAAAGGACTAATTTCTCCAAGAGGATTAGTGAGGTATTGTTAGTAATTCAAACCGTTTGGAGAGACTAATTTTAGCCTAGAGAGCCAGTCTTCCTAGACTACTGATAATGATCCTTTCTTGTGTCCAAAACCCAAATGAGTTTTAGAAAAGTACTAGTGCCTACACTCCCCGAATCTTTGTTCGCGAAGCCTAGCCATGAAGTGCCTACACTAGTGTGAAGACACAATAAACTCAGCACAGGTGCTAAGGTTTTGCCATTACTTCCAAAACTCACTCATTTTGTAGTAAGCAAAGAGACAGATTCTTCCAAGCACAATTTACATTAGGCTCCTGTTCTAAATGATACTCTAGAGGAATCTCTATTTTTCTGCTGTAAGGGAAATCTACACACGTGATCCTCTCCAGCCTTGTGAATAAGCCTGAAGTACTTCTCCTTCTTAAATGCAAGCTGCTGACTTAAAGTAAATATGGAATGCACTGTAGTCCACTTCCTTATGTATTAATATGTCAGTTCATTCCTAACAGTACTTGTCCCTACTGTTGGAGGCATTTGTAAAAGAAATGTGAAGAAGCTAGTGCTGATGATATGTTCTCCTTTGGACACAATGCTGGAAACAACCACTAGGAAAGCCCTGTTCTGACCTCTAATTAAACATTACATACATAGATGAGAACCAAATAAACCTCTCTAATATTATGATATTCTGTTTCCATAAAGCAAAACTCTTGCCTTTATTTTGACAAAGTTCTTTTCTCAAATATTAAATGGATATATTAAACAAGCATCACTTCCAACAAAACACATTGAGTTCTCTCTTCAGTACAATTTGGCCCTTATTAGTAAAATCGAAGAGAAAATTCATAAGGTTATTTTCATTAGCAAATTGCAAACTTGGTTGTTTGGTTTGTTTTGGGTTTTTTTGTAGAATGAGTCCCTATTCATATCCCTACATGCATCAGGGTGTTAGCACCAAAGGCAGTCTCAAGCCATCTCCTAGAGGACTTAGGACAGCCTTGAGAGCCCACTGGGAAATCTAATCTCAAGACAACTAACAGAAAACCTATAGTCAAGAAGTCTCACATGCCTGTTCGTTATCAAAGCTGGAAGGAGCTATGTTGCCAGCTTGAATATGGTACAAGGACAAAAAAGGATGGCTTTGTGCGTTTCCCTGCTTACAGCACATCTCTAAATTCCTTAAACGAGTATTATTTATGGACTTAGGCAAGTTTAATCATTAAGCAGAGTTTTCTATATCAGATCCAGATACTTTTCAAGTCTCATGTTCAGCTGTTTCCTTGATCCCAAAAGAACAGGTGAAAACACAGCAGGGTTGAGAACAAATGTCTGAAAAACTGTGTGTTTACCTGCCACCTTCATAATAATAACAAATCATTTGGTTCTTTTATTCTTTATGCCTTCAAGGACCTCATTCTTTGATAGAATTTGAACAGCTTTTCAGCAGAGCAGCATGCTATGACCTCCTTGGCCTGTACATGACTTCAGTTTGGACTTTTATGCGCACCCCACTCTGGATGCTTAACACAGGATGAATTGCCCATGGAAAATATGACGCAAAAGGCAAGAAAACCTGAGACTGAAAATACTGAAATTCATTCCTATATGCCTTTCACAAATATACTGTTTTCTTTTAACAACTCTAATAACAGGCATGTCTTAAAGGAAAAGATCAATAGTAAGCCCAGGGAAAATGCCTTGTTTCTATCTACAGTAAGGATAGACAGACACTGACTAGCTAATTTACAGTTGTTTCAAAGAGCAAGACCGCTTTTCTATAAACAGTATTGTTACAACCCACCCCTGAAGGAGGGGTAACTGAGGTTCTTTTTAACAGATCCTTTGAATCGGATTAAAGTGAAATGACACTGACCAGACACAAATGGCAGGTTTATTTTAGAACAATTTGGTCGCAATGGAAAGAGCAACAGTCCTTTTCTAGATACAGGGTAGAAATATATACATTTCTATCTTTCTAAAAAGAAACTGACTTTAGTTGATATTTTAATAAAAACAGAGTTCCCTGTACATGTAGCCTTTTGCAAGGTGATCTTTCTGCCTTTGTCAAATATGATTAGTCAAACATAACAAATGGATATTGAAACAATGGAATACGATGGAAAAATACAATGACTGTAATTCACCAAACTGTACACAGGATGTGCAAGTGAGTGACACTGCACATTAGTTGTCTTTCATGTGTAGATCAAATTACATCATTAAAGTAGTTAAAATGTTATCACAATGCTCTTTTATATATATATACACATATATATATATGTACATTGTGGCAATATAACCCAGTCATGAAGAAATTAATTATTTTCTAGGTAAAATATCAGACTAATAATATAGACATTGGATTTTATTCTTAACTCTTTCAGAGGCATCCTATGACTTTTGTTTTCTTCTTTCCTACACCTTGGTCAAGTTGCTTAACCTCCTGTGCTTTTGGTGGGATCTCAACGAATACATCAGTATCCACAGATGCAGACCACAGCTAATTCTCACAAATCCTTATCATCTATTTTTTAACTGACCAATTAATAAGGCTTAACAGAGTTCAGTAGACAACACCGGCCACTTATTTGGAATTTACTGATTGCCAGCCATCTGCAGAGCACAGCTTGTAAACTAATGAACTTGGCAGCATCAGGAGAAGCTTATCTGCTTCAAGGTATTATGAGGTTAGAGTCATGTATATCTGTAAACATATCACGATCTAACTACAGTCTGAAACGTAGTTAGAAAGGCAAAGTTTTTTTTAAACAGCACACTGAAATGCCAAGTTGGGAAATATCAAAAAGATACTGAAAGGTGAGGTCTAAAACACTTCAAAGAAGCTCTATTTGCTTCATATCAACAGAACTATCATGACTGTGGCCACACTGGTAGCAGCTGCCCAGGACAGTAGAATTTAGGGTAACTAAAAAACAGTTCTGGAAATTTACTTTCTCCATGGAAAGGGTAGCTTAAGAAACATATTTCTAGTTACCAGTCTAGATAGTACATTAAAATCTCTTTCTCCAAATAGTGGCAAAACCAGAGATACAGTCCTAAACAGGTTAATCTAACACAGGCCGTTAAGGGGCCACCAAAATAGTGCAGCTCTGACAAGAAAAAATAAAAGCTGTGTCAGCCCAGGTACTCCGGGAGAAATTAATTTGGATTTACCAGGGGGTATGAAAGAGAATGAAGACGAGATGGCTAAAGGCTTCTGCCATTTGTTCTGGTTAGTACAGCACTCAGAGGCATGAGACTAGGAAAGACTGGGTAACTCCTCATTTGCCAGAGCAGTTGCATCAGACCAAGAGACAAAGTGAAATACTAATGCCACTGTCTAGGGCCCTGTTGAGACAGCATTAGTGACAATTCTGGTCAAGTGTGTTTATGAAACCTGTGTTCAAAGAGGAAAATACACAGAAAGGTTATTAAGAAGATTACAAGAAGGAAGAGCTTATCTTATGACAAAAAAATAAAAATTAAAAAAAAATCAAAATCAAATGAAACAAAAGGCGCAAAAAACAGTAAGCAAAACATGAGCTTGTTTTGCTTGATAGTAATCTGGCCATCATGCAATGAGAACTATTTAGACTAATATAAACTGGAGCAGACACTGGATATTAACAAGTGAGTATAAACTAGCCCTGAGTGCCTCTGTGCTGGATATTAGTAAGTATCTAACCAGCATGGGAGTGAGTTTCTACAGTACGCTTCCAAAAGCAGGTAATGACAGAAAGGGGACTACAAACTCCAGATGCAGTTTAATCAGTTAACAAAAAGGTGCATATAAGTTTCTCTGTGAAGTCAGTGGCTTGGCAGGCTCTTGTACTCCAGTGCTTCTATTTTGAATTGAGACTGACATATCTAATAATTTTGCTGAGTGATGGGAGCTGAATTGCCATGCAAACTCCTACATCTAATAGATTTGACTGGGCTTTTCTCATCATAATTTTATAATACTTCTTCAATATCTGTAAGCAGCCTTTTTGCTTGCTATTGCCCTTCTCCATTGTGTTTGCATGTGTCTGTTATAAATCTATCTTGTCTGGACATAACCACTGCCAGTGACAACAGGACATGAAAAGCTAAGGAAAAAAAATACCTGATGTCCTGGCAAGCGAGAGTGTCTCCAGAGATCTAGCATTTTCTACAAACTGCCACCATTAATGTCCATATGCACTAATAAACACTAAGAACATGTTATCCAAACTACAGTTCTTTTTGTATTTTGGCAAAGTGCAGGTATGTGGGAAATCTGCATGCTACAATCAGATAAGGAGTGAAACTAGAAGTGAGTGAATGGGTGTATGAATCACTGAGAATTTCCCACTGAACCTTCACCTTTGAAAGTACCATGAAACCCTTAGGGAAGCTACTGAGAGATACATAGACATTTCAAGTACTTCAGACGAACTCTTGGAAGAATATGCAGAAACCATACAGAATTCAATCTTTCACAGAAAAGAGAACTCATTAATTTTGACTTCTGAACTTAAGACTTCTCCACAGCCATAAGCACTACTAAGACTGATATCTGTTCTTAAAACATGGCTAGAAAAATGAAAAGTAGTCACAAACTGTGACCCAGATCCAGTTACATGCAGCAGATGACAACAGCAAACTTTCACACCAGGCCACTCTTTTCTGGAAGGACTGCCTTTGTGCTAATTGTTGGCCCTTCCTGTCTTCAGAGAAATGGCATGAGCTTGCAATTGAAAGAAAGAATTCACAAATATAGGACAAGTGCTCATTCTGGTTTTTTTCATCCTGCTAAAATGTTTTAACATTTTAGATTTCTTTTAAATTATTGCTTGGTATGGAAATGGAAAAAAATGCTTACACTCTCCTCTAAGTTGTTTTTGTCATGATCAAAAGACATATACTTGATCACTTTTTCTTTTGCTCTACAATTCAGAGATGATAGCTCTGCAACAGACTGTTCCATACATCTGTTGTGTGCAAAGAAGCAACTACATTTGTTTCATGCAATAGGAAATCACATACCTAAAAGAGATAAATCAAACAATTAGTTCAGCCAGTCTAAGCCACATTTGAAAAAGGTTCAACTATATTAGCCTAATGCTGGAAAACAAGATTCTTAAGAAGAAGAATCTACAAAAGAAAATTGTCTTACTGGAATCTTTTATAGGAATAATATTTGAGTATGAAGGGAATAGTGTAAGTAGTAGAAAGAAAATAAAACCCTCAAAATCACAACTGAAAATCAAACTCTCTCTGCCAGACTGCATTTTCACATTCTGGAAAAATCCAGATGCATACAATTGTAGTTGTGGATTAAATACGACACTGATTTACCATGTCAGCAATCTTGAAAAAACAGAATTTACAGGGGAGTTTATAGCATTCTGCTGTCTCTTTTTATACTGAGGCTGTGTTTTCTACTGACTTTTACTCAATAATTCCACTTGTTCTGACAATCTGTGAAAAAACCAAGAAACCATTCTTTGATTGTCAGGTACAGTTTTTTTTGGTGGTTTTTTTTTTTTAATATCTGGACTCTCCTTTCCATAGATTCTGTTTTAATGTTGCACCACCATTTTGTTTCCACAACTATATAAGAACTTCAGTGAATTCAACAACCTGTCAAAAATGTCAGATACAGTAGAGACCAATCTACAGTTGTCACCCTTTAGTAGAAAAATTTCCATTTAATGAAACGCTCTCCAAAACTAATACATAGTAAACATGACTTCAGTAGCTCAATAAACATGTGTGAATAAATGGAAAATACCACATAAACAGTTCTGACATATGCGTGTAGCATGCAAAAGGATGCAGATCTTCCCTGTAGACTGAAATTTTATTACTGTCAGAGTAGATATCCAGCATGAAAAACATTAGCTAACAGGGCTGCAGTTCATCACCTAAATCACAGCAGACTGCAAAAGTGCTCTTTGTACTTGATTGCAAAGTGATGGTTACCAATCCACTTTTCTACTAAAAAACAGTCATGTGTTCGAATGTATAGTCTAGGGGCTCCAGAGCTTCTGCATATGATTACAAACTAGGTCCTAATTCATAACTGAAGTACAGTTCACCAGTATTAACTGCTTCGAGTAAACAACCTAGAAACTGCTAAAAACTGCGCAATGTAACTTGTATCTGTACAGCACCTTCTACTCCAGTGCTATGGGGCATTATATCTTTTCCATACATTAAAAAACTGCTGAAAAGGGGCCACCTCTTTGCTACCCCCTGCTCTAGCCAAGAGCCACCTCTGCCCGATGCAGATGGATAACTAACTCCTCCTCGAATAAACAGATGGAGGGGTCGTGACAACTTCCCAGTAGGGCCTCGATACACCTAATCACCCAACAACTGACACCCAGTCACTCCCAGGACAGCTGCGAGCCCAATGTGCCTCGAAACCCGCCCGCGGCCAGGGCGGCGGGGTGGTGGCCACCGCAGGGCTGTGACGCCTGGAGACCCGCCGCCCCCCTGCGCCGCGGCGGGCAGACCCCTCATGGGGACACGGCCCCTCGCACAGATCGCGGGCCCCTGCACGCCAGGGGTGTGTCCTCGTCCTCTCCTCCCGGCAGAAGAGGCGCCTGTCCCGTCCCGCCGCTCCCCTCGCTCGGCTCCGGCCGGGGCACCAACCTGCATGGGCGCCTCGTGCCTCATCGCCGGGCGCGGCCCCGCCGCCCGCCCGCCGCCACTCGCATCCGCACACCGACAGCCGCCGCCGCCGCCCGTCCGGGCTCTGCCGGCAAACCCGCATCGCGATCAGCACCGGAGCTGTCCCCGCTGCGCCCCCGGCCCGCCCCGCCCTCCGTCCCTCGCGTCCCCGGGAGTCGTAGTCCCCCTGCCTGGCTCCGCCACTGCCAGGGCGGGCAGGCGGAACTACAGCTCCCGGGGTGCTTAGCGCCCGGCCAGGGGGCGGGCGGGGCGGCGGGGCGCGCGTGGCTCTTTGCGAGCTGGTCTGGGGCTGGGGAACGGGCGTCGCGCTGTGCCCGTGCTACGGCGGAGAGCGTAGAAGCAGCTGGTGGAGCTGGTCCCGCTGCCCTTCCGGCCCGACTGCTGCCGCCGGAGCAGCGCTGGCGGAGGCACTCGGGGGCTGCCGGAGGCGCTCCATGGAGTGGGGCGGGCACAGCCGGGCCCGGGCGTGGCGCTGCACAGCGCCCTCTGCGGGCGGGGGAGGGGAGAGCTGGCAGTGCCCGCGCCGCGGGGCCACTGCCGGCCCTTTATCCCTGCTCCCGCACTCGGGCTGGTCCCGTTCACCCGGCCGCGCCTTATGATCCGCCGCCGGCACTGGGGATGTGCGAGGCCGAGCGCCCTTAGGCTGGTCAATGTCCTCGCTGGGCACAGTGACAGACCCTACTCGTCCTCCTCATCGCACCCCGATGTCTTGCTGTCTGTTGCCTCGCTTGGATTTTCTGCAGTCGTTAACAAACAGGAGCAGGCAGGGCCGGGCCGTGCTGCTGTGCTATGGCAGTAGTACCCCGTGGACATGAGGACATTGCTTCTGGGTGATAATAGTCGGTTTTGATGTCTGTAGCAATGTCATTATGAAGTGGTGATTTATATTGTCCAACAAGATGCTTTAAATCCCTTCTTGACACTCCTAGTGTAACCCCATCCTCTAATGCAAAACCTATACCCAAATGTACAGGTCCATAGAGGGTAAAGGGTGTTGCAGCCAGACTGAAGATTTGGCATGTTCTGCTCTAATGAAAGGGTAAAGATGAGCCATGGGTGACTCACTCTGGGGATGGCTGCCCAAGGTTTGAGAGCTGGTCACATCCCAGGCAGAGGAAAGGGCAGGGACAGTGGCTGAGGCAGCATGGAAACAGCAGCTTGCCCTGTGGGTTACCCACTTCTACGTACATGATATTGCATAAAGTGAATCACCCAAAGGAGCTGTGACGTGAGCAAACTTCATAATAGAGACATGAATATGGATGCCAGAAGAAAATTCTAGCTCTGCAAGTTTTTTATTTCATTTGCAACTATTTATACCTACTCCACTATAATATGAAAATAGGAAATAAGTGGAGTATTTTTCAAAGACATTGTGCATTTTTTTGCGGCTTACTCCCCTTTCCTGCATGAAACATGAAATGTTGCTCTTTCTGCCATCGTGGGCATGTAACATCATGAATTTGCTCAGCATTGTAAGCTATCTGTATGTGTGCATGCATGTATGAACAGCTAAGAGTTGATTTATTTTTTGATGCATGCAATTTATTCTTACTATTGATTTTACGTGAATTCCTACCAAAAAATTATAAGTAACAACCCATTTCCCTCTGAAAGCAGGGCATGTTGTATGTGTTATCAATCAGTTAGGGAAAAAGAGAGAGCTTCTCCTATGAAAGCTTTGTTTTATGGGGTTTTGTTTTTAGAAAGTATTATAAATATATAACAATCCTGAATATATTAAACTATCACTTTCCATAAAACATTTCACATTTTGGAATGTCATTTTAGGTCTTAGATGAATAGATATTTGAAACAGTAGATTCAAGTATTCTGAGAAGTTTTGGATTGTAGAATTTAGAAAATGGATACTATGGATTTATTATTCTATTAAAATTTTAAAGTAGGTTTACTGCAGATACATTAGAAATTACAAGACTTAAATGATACCAGGTTCCCAAATTTATCCCAAGACAAAGATCCTCCACATCTTATAACTATATTGGCATTTATCTTAGCATTGAAGTTTTGAAGCAGTCTCTCACCTAAAACCTCCATACAGGGAACTATCAATAGAACATAAAGCTGTGTTGCTTTTATGTTGTCTCATGTCTTTCTGTAAAGCATGGGATTTTTTTTTATACTGAAAATGTTAAACAGCATATCTGCATACACAATACTTTTCTTTTTCTTTCTTTAATTTGTGAAGTCATAAGAATGCACAATTAACACTGAAATTTCATAGAATCATAGAGTGGTTTGTGTTGGAAGGGTCCTTAGATATCACCTAGTTTCAACACCCCTCCCACGGGCAGGGATGCCAATCACTAAACCAGTGTGCTCTGGGCTCCATCTAGCCTGGCCCTGTTATTTGTCTTTGTGTGTTGATTGAAGAGATGATAGTGGAGTGTTTTTTTATTACCCAATTTTTGTCTATCATTTATTGTCTGGCAGCAACTTTGTCCTTTTCTTTCTGTCTTCTTCAGAGGCTTTTGAAGAGGGCATTGGAAAGAAATGAATTGGAATTAAATAGTATGGTCCTAGACACAAGTAAGCTTTTGTACCTCAAGCATCTTAGTCCAGTGTCATGCTGTGGTGATAATACTGTCCACAGAGCACTGTTTTCATCAGTCAGGAGTTTCTGTTGATTACTAGTCACTGGATCACAATATGTTAACATTTTTGGAGCATGGTGTACTTGAAGCTCCCTTTAAAACATAATTAGTATGAGCTAGCTATTTTCACCAAATTTTAACATACAAGGGACTCAGTTTAGTATAATATCTAATTTTTTTAACCAAGATTAGTAGGAACACCACAGAAGTAGTCATGAACATCAGATTTTCAGCTGTATTGATTATACTACCTCCTTTTAATTTGCTAACACTCACAAGACTGATTTTTTTCTATTTCATACCAAATGCTGGATCATGCGATTCACAGAACAAGTTAGTTACTATTTGCTAATTCAAACAAAAGAAAATAAAAGAAATACTGATTCTTCTTAGGTGGTGGAAAATAGTCATTCAAATAATGTAAGTTATCACAAAAGCTAACCTAGAATGAACATGCTGCCTGTGAGATAGTTAGTACAGTCAATCTGACTTATATAGATGTAGAACAGTGTGATTTTAGGACACTTTTCAATCTTTGTAACACAGCTTGTTTTTCTCCCAAAACTAATTCACTAATTCTGCAGTACACAGCAATAACTTTCAGAGCTGCATATGAAATATGAGAAAACTTGTACTAATAAAGGTACCAGGAAACAGTTGGTTTGTGACCAAGAGACTTGTTTTGTATGCATGAATTCTGGAATGATGGAGATATTAACAAGGCTGTTTCTCAGGTTTGCACTGGAGGTCTGCATAAGTAAAGATAATGCAAATGCTATGTAACTTTTACTTCACAAGTTCAGTGCATGTATCAGGAGCAAATATTTTCTCTGCTTTCAAAACTTTCAAAGTGTAGGCCATGCTATTAAATTAACAAGTAAGTAAGATTCAGAAGTAGAAGAAACCTGAGTTAATATGGAGAATAATAAGACAAAAACAGTTAAATAATGATCAGAGTTCCTTTCTTGTAATTCTTAGATTAACTTACAAATCCTTACTATTTTTAATTTAAGAAAATAAACGTGCTTGCTAGATACAAAAAAAAAAAAAATCCAGCCATTTTGAAATATCTATACGCCTTGACAATGCTTTTTCTCATGTTCTCTTCCTTAATGTCATATAGCTTTCTTTTTCCTGCTGACCTTTTAGAAAACAATATTTCTTTTATTCCTGCATGCCATTTGACTTATCCTGAAATTTGACTCTGGATGCAGAGAACATAAAAAAAGAGAGAGTCACAAGTCTTTCACGAAGAATAAAGGCCATTTACCCTGACTCAGTCTGCCATGTTTTCAAATCCAGATTATGATTTTAAAATGTAAATATTGAGATATGCCTTCTTTAGATTTTTCTTTTTTTAAAAAAAAAGTATGAGATCTTTTGACTAGGTAAACAGGAAATGTAGAGAGCAAAAAAATGGTGATTAAAGATCTCAGGAAAGCTTCTTTCCAGTTTTAAACATTATTTCATCAAGAAGGCAAGCATAAATTAACAAAATACTGTTCTAAAATTAAGCTAGGAATTCTGTTGATAGCAGATGTGGCACTGAAACAAGACAAGATCTGTCTCAAGCACAGATCTCAGATACACACCCATTGAGAAACATTTGTGGGGACTTCTTTTTAGGCTAGAAGACAGAGTACAGAGGATCTTGCCATGGGGTAAACCATGGAAGTTGTAATTGCAACAGGTGAAGATGCTTCACTGCTGTATAGATACTTGGGTTTGTCACCTAGACAGATTCTGCAAATCCTTAAAATCCCAGCAGACAACACTCGCACATCAGGCCACATGACAGCATGCTGCTGATGCACGAACTTGAGATGCCACAGTACGGAATGAGAAAGCGGTTGCTAAAAGAACAGGTCTGATGCTCATCACATGAGACTTGACAGGTCTGCACTACAATGAAAGACAAGCAAACGGTTCCTGTCAGTGATGTTGGTTTTTTTCTTCTGATTCTCAGAACAGAAGATACTGTTGGTCTCTTCCCTGTTTAACTTTGCTACTGCTAGAATTGTAACATAGAACAGAAATGCAGCTTTTCATTTTGTGAATGAGGGACCAGCATAAATCACTGCATCACTTGCCATTGATGGAAATGAGGACTGAGGTAATCTGTTGTTGCCATAGCTGCTGGGTCACAGCACCAGATACACCATCATATTTCCTGCATCCTCATATTCTACAATGGTTTCACTGGCATATAGAAAAGGGAAAACTTGTGCTGTGATTTTCATTTTCTATTGCATAGCACAATACTCTTATCTGCAGGAAGGTCACAGAAGTCTGTGGACATCAAACAGGCATTTCACACACCTCCCTTTGAAGACATCTCCTTATACTGTGTGTCCTGCAGCTAAATAACAAAATCCTTTCACTCTTGATGCATCACTATCTGATCTGAGCAGCGACCTGTTCAGGTAAGGGAGAAAATGCCAGCTGGAGCTGAAAGTGCCAGTACTATGTCTTCTCGCAC